TACAGGGTGTTCAGGGTCTCACTACTAGATTGGACTCCAGTGATCTGCCTGTTTACAGCCTCCCAAGAACTGGGAGTACAGTGTGCCACCACATCCAGTGTCAGTTGCCATTTCAGTGTGCCCCAGTGACAGGACCAGCATGGCAAGCCCCAGTGATTGAACCCCCAGCACCTGTGTCTGCTTGCAGTCACTTTAATCAGCTGAGCCATTTGGCCGGCCCTAGAAAAGGTTATAATGCCCCTTTATTTTTTTTATTTTTTATTTTTTTTTGGCAGAACCGGGGATTGAACTCAGATCCTTGTGCTTGCCAGGGAAGCGCTTATTCTACTGAGCCGTCTCCCAGGCCCCTAATGCTCCTTTAATGGGACATTTTATTCCTTTTTTTTTTTTTTGGTGGTAAGAGGGATTGAATTTAGGACCTTGCTCTTGCCAGGCAAGCACTCATTTTACTGAGCTATCTCCCTGGCCATCAATTACTATTATTTTGGGATGAAAGAATTTAGAATTTCATGTGATAATTTATTTTTTTTAATTTTAATTTTTATTTTTTTTTGTGGAACCGGGAATTGAACTCTTGCACTTACCAGGGAAGCGCTTATTCCACTGAGCTATCTCCCCGGCCCCCATCATGTGATAATTTATATACATTATATGTGACCAAACTTAACAGTACACAGAGACTATGTCATATTGTCTATGCTGTTCTCATATTTCAAAAAGAATTTCAAGAAATTAAGAATTTTAATTCACATGGGAAAACATCATTAAAGATTTTGCACATATACCTCCACAGTTCATTTTTCTACCTTTCTTCAACTACATAAGAAAATAAACCAATATGTTTTCCCTCCAATTCCTATTATCTTGTTAATAGGAATCCTTTCAGGAAATCTCAAAATCATTTAACAATACTGACTTCTGTAATAATCCTTTCAGGAAATCTCAAAATCATTTCAATACTGACTTCTGTAAATGCTAAAAAAAAGATTTGAGAAATTAAAAACATCCTGTTTATTAATGAAATCTACAACAGAATTTTTTTAAATTACACATGACTTCTGCAGGGTCCAACCACTGATGTAAGTCTTATCTTTAATTTAGAGAATGAGTCATCCATAGTCACAAATTCCCTAAAGATATGGCAGAAATGTGAAAAGGGCTTCAAAATACCTGAAGAAACCCAATGAAGATATAAATTCAAAAACATACTAGAAAGATGAAAATTCTTCAGGTAAATATGACAACCCCATTAAAATGCAATATACAGTTTTGTGGGGAAAAAAGGAAATCTAAGATAAAATAGACATCTTATATAAAATATTTACATATACAATGCACAAAACCCACTTTCTTAGCAACCTTTAAAGCTCTGGAGTAAGTTATTTACATGTCTTTCTTTCTGCGTGTGTGTGTGTGTGTGTGTGTGTGTGTGCTTATGTGTGTTTTGTATATATTTTTAACAGTTGACAGCTGTTGTAGAGCATACAGAGATGCCAAGCTGAATGAGGGTCTTGATTACTTCAAGATTAGCTATCTAAAGTTTCTATTCATTTTAAGTGTTGTTAGTTGGAAGAGTCATTAGTCACTTCCTTGTCTCATAGAGCATCAGCATACATTTACATTGTTAATGAACATTTGGGGTAAATGAATTAATGGCACTTTTAAACATCAATTCAATCCTAATAACTTAGTATGTCATAGAAATGTTAGGCTAAGATATAAACGAAAAGCCTTTTTAGTAAAGGTAACTATTCATTCCTGCGAATAATAAAGGCTAAAATTAATTTAAAATGTTTTTAACCAGGTTTTTAAAGAAAAAAACCTCAATATTTAGTGAAATAGACCAAAGAAAAAAATTCCCTTAGAAAACAACAGAAAACTATGTCATCAAATAAGCATATAAACCAGAAATAGCATTAAAATGTTGACATTATATATTTTTATCAGATATTCGGTCTCTCTTAAAACTCACAGTACTTTAACTGATTTGAGCTTTCCCTAGTAAGTATCATATTTAAGAGAAAAATATCTTGGTAAGGTTTTGTGCTTACTAAGATATTAAAATTAAAAGTCAATTTTTATATCATGAAAATATTCAAAACCAGTCTTAAATTTTACACATCAAAAATTAAAATCACAGAACAAATTTGTAGGACATATTCTATTCCACTGAAAACATCAATGTCACTAACATGATATAGATGGTGTTAAAAATGCAGAAGAAACATTCCATAATCACCTTACCTTCTAAAGAAATAGCCACTTTAAGAGTCAATTATTTCTTTAAAATTCTCTAACTATGACTTAATGGCATCGATATAGATGAAACAGGAATTTTATAGAATACATGAATTATGTGGACTAATTTATAAAGTTTTAAAAATAGTATCTCAATCCTAATATATGTATTTCATGAGTGAAATTTTAAAGTCACTGAGGAAATGAACATTATCGAATATTTAATAGACCATTTAACAATAAAGCTATAGTTTCAAGAATTCTCAGAAACTCATTATTTCCTTCTAAGAAAGCATGTTATTATCATCATTAAGTTAAAAAAACAAACAAACTTTTACTTGAGAGACAGTATGGTGATAATTGGTATGTCATGACAAGAAGTACGTATTTAGAAAACCAGAATGACAGGCATTCCAGGCATGACCCTTCTATTACACATTGTTATCTTCAGTGTAGTTGCCTGGTTCACAGGTATCAGCATGTATAGTTAAGTCAGGGTGAGAATCCTACCAATTAACTGCTAGTTTCGAAAACCTGCTGATGTTTCTCAGGATCATGGCCTTAAACAACTTGTGCGTATAAATGTACGGCTTTCATGTTCCCAGCTTTTCTCCTTGCCTTCTCCTCGTTGTCCAATCCTCAAGTTCTTGCTTTCCTTTTAATTGTGTTATACCTTTCTATTTGTATTTCTTCTTTTGAGTTCTTATACTAC